AAAAAAAATCCACAACAACAAACCAACAAAAAGAACAACAAAAACCAACAAAAAACCCAAAACCTCCTCCTGGACTCACCTCTGGCCCGGTCTGCTGGGCTCTGGAACAGGTCTCTGGACCCTCGGTCCTCTGGACCTGCAGCCAGGCCTCCACGCGCCCCCCATCGAACCCAGACCCAGACCCAGACCTGGACCTGGACCTGGACCTGGATCCAGACCCGGACCTAGACCCAGACCTGGACCGGGGCTGGACGGGCGCGGCCCAGTCCTCTGGACCCTGTAGAGAGAGACCAGGTCTCCATTAAAGTCCATCACAAAAAGCTGAAGGCCAGTTATCCCGAAAGTCCAGGGACAGGTCTAGGTAAAGGTCTAGGTTCAGGTCCAGGGACAAGTCCAGAGTCCAGGGACAAGTCCAGAGTCCAAGGACAAGTCTAGGTTCAGGTCCAGAGTGAGGGGACAAGTCCAAAGTCTGGGTACAAGTTTAGAGATAGGTCTAGGGACAACTCCAGGGACAAGTCCAGAGTCCATGTTCTAGTCCAGACTCAAGACCAGGGACAGGTCCAGGTTATAGTCCAGGTTCAAGTCCAGAGTCTAGGGACAAGTCAAGAGTCCAGGGAAAAGTCTAGGGACAGGTCCAGGTTATAGTCCAGGTTCAAGTCAAGAGTCCAGGGACGAGTCTAATGACAAGTCCAGAGTCAAGTCTAGGGACAGGTCCAGGTTCTAATCCAGGTTCATGTCAAGAGTCCAGGGACAAGTCTAGGGAAAAGTCCAGGGATAGGTTCAGAGTCTAGGGACAAGTCCGTAGTCCAGGGACAAGTGTAGGTACAGGTCCAGGTTCAAGTCCACAGTCCAGACTCAAGTCTAGGGACAAGTTTAGGGACAAGTCCAGATTCTAGTCCAGGTTCAAGTCAAGAGTCCAGGGACAAGTCTGGGGAAAAGTCCAGGGACAGGTCCAGGGTCTAGGGACACATCCATACTCAAGTCCAGGTTCAAGTCCAGGTTCAAGTCCAAGAACAGGTCCAGACTCAAGTCCAGGGACAGGTCTAAGGACAGGTCCAGGTTCTAGTCCAGGTTCAAGTCAATAGTCCAGGGACAAGTCTAGGGAAAAATCCAGGGACAGGTCCAGGGTCAAGGGGACAAGTCAAGACCCCCCCCCTCCCTCCCTTCTGAGTCAAACTGGAACCCACCGAGTCCTCATCCTGGTCTGTGAGGTCAGAGCTGGAGTCCAGGGAGCTGAGGTAGCTCCGCCCCCTCCAGTAGCTCCGCCCCCTCTCGTAGCTCCGCCCCCTCGTGTAGCTCCGCCCCCTCAGGAAGTCTCCTCC